AATCAAAATGTTCATATTTTATTATATTTTGAGATGTATATATTATGTCAATTTTATTTTATAAGAATGAAGTATTAAATCATTTTAAATTAATATAAAATTTTGTATATATAATCTAAGAGTAAAAAACTTTCAATCTAACAGTTGGATTTATAAAATTCATATTTAATATAAAGTTATTGAGCGATATAATACTTAATAAAAGTTACATTGGTGTCGTTTGAACCCTTCTCGCACATATATATATATATATAACAATATCCCTTTGTAAAATAAAAAATTTAATTAATATTTTTTGAATCCATTATCATTTGAACAACAAACACAAAAACACATTAATTTTATTAACTAATTAAAATATAAATTAATTAAATAATCAATTAGACATTGTTTTTTATCACTTTTAATTATATTATTTTTCAAGAAAAATAATCAGTACAACTTTTCATGTATAAACGTTTAATAAATTATTCTATTGTGTCTTTTTATTACATTATTTTTTATTTGTTATTAGATATGAATTACTATTTTTTCATCACTTTTCTCCTTAATCTAATAATAAAAGTTAAATAGTTATATAATTTTCTTAAGATGTGGTATTTGATAGTTATTTAAAATTTATAAATCATAAAATTACATTACTAATTTTTTATTGTGATTTTTAGCTTCTAAATTTAACGAGTTATTTTGGCGTCGGACATGGTTTAAATGATGTTGAATGTAAAAAACACTAGGAAGTATTTGTCTTGGTGACACTAGGCTAAGGTTGAATGGCGCCTTGTTGGCCAAATCATAACTCTTTATTTGGATGACATCGGGCATTGGTATGGTGACGTTAAGCGTGCGTTAGGCAGAGACTCTCTACCTAAAATGAGGTCAAGTGTGAGACTTTTTCACGCCAAACGTGAGATCTCAAGGGTCTCAATCTTATCCACGTCAGACATGGGTTGTGTAGCATTGGGCTTAAATGTTGCAGAGAGTTCTCTGCCTATATGGCATTAGGTGTTGGGTGTGTGGCGTTAGGCATTGACTGTTGAATGAAAATATGCTAGTTGATTGATGAATTATTGAATATGAGTAAAGTATATTACCTTATAATATGTATTAAGTTGCTTAATGTTGATATATGATGGTAACTAAGGATGAAGAATGCTTGAGACTTTTCTTGAGAAGTTGACCTTTAAAGAGGGCTGTTGAGTCTCCTCTAAAATGTTAATTGCTACTGTGTGTGGGTAAGTTGATGCACATATGTATAAAATGACTACAATATATGGGTCAAGTTGAGCTATACTAATTACAAATGGCCAACATAATAAAGTACGAAGTCGGGAACTTAGTTCCTAACTAAGTATGGAAAGAGCGTAATATTTGGAAGGTAATTGATAAGATAATCCCATAAGATGGTTAGTTAAGCTAGCTAATGTCGTGGTATGCCTATAACCAGCTATTATATCTTGATGGTAATACTAAAATTTCTTATTTAAGTGATAACATCCAAGAAACCAAGTTGTTGTGTTGAGGATTGGTATCCAATTTGTTATTGATCTAGTAAACAAAAAAAATTACTGTGTTGTTAGTTTGATAGGATCAAACTACTTAAACTGTTCACCCTTATAGTAAGAGATCTTTTAGTTAAAATATGTGACAACGCATGTAATTATTATGTTGTGCATATGATGTATTGATTTAATTGTGTTATTCATATGCAATGTTGATTTATGATGAAGTATGTTGATGTGTTGTTTAAGTTGACCTTGTGTTGTAGTAGATATAGTTAGAAAGTTGATAAAGTTGAATGTGTTGAAATGTTGATGCTGAAAAATGTGAGATGTGTTGTAAAACCCTGTTACTCATATTTCTTGTTGTATATGTTGTTATTTTGAACAGTAGATTATCCTTGCATGTTTTCATATAGTTAGAAATGTGACAATCATAAAAACAAAGTAAGGATAGAATGAGATGTTATGCAATGAAGACCATCTAGTAGATGGTAAAGTGAAGTCTTTTTGCGTACTATTGTGTAGTACTACATATAGAAATTGTTTGACTGATAACTTAGATTGTATAGTTCACTTTTATTATAATATTCAATATTGTACTTATATTATGTATATTTGTATAGTTGCTTCACCTTTACACCTAGAATATATAATACATATTTTCATATTTGTATATATATAACTCTAAATTAGTAATTGTTTCACTACTATAATAGTTATGTCGTTTAACGTAGAGATAATGTCATATTGTTACAACATTCTATTTATTTTAAGAAAAGAAATTCTGCTTACCTCTTAAAAAAATATTTAGAAAAAACTGTTTATTAAATAATACTGTTCTTGAATTAATTAATAATTTCATGAAATAGTTTAGAGTAACGATAAGCATACATTGTGATTTTTCACTCACCTTACACATGTCACATGTAACAATATGCGTACATATTAGTTGCATGTAACTATATGCGTACATATTATTAATTTTGTCTCGAAAGTAGTTAAAATAAATGAGCATGATTGTATAATTACCAAATGCTTTTACAACATAACAGTTGCACGTGTCTCATAATTATTAAAGTATAATGAGGTTATTAAAATCTCTAATATTACTTATGATCCATGTGTTATTTCATCCAAAATATTATCTCTATTTTATAATAATTGTTATATATATATAAAATTAATTTTATAATTAATCTTTTATTAAAAATCATATAACACAATATCATCTTCCAAAGAATATTACAAGAGGTATAAATGAAAAAAGAGATAATTAGTATTATATTAAAAACCTACGTGTCACTTATTTTAGAATATATTTTTTTTTCTTGAAATATTATTACAGAACGAGTGAAGTAGTTAATTTTAATTAATATTATAATTTAAAATTTTATTTAATATATCTATAATTTTAAATGATGTAAGTGGCAAAAATATTTAATAACTCTCCTCATAAATCAATGAATAATTAATAAATATAACTTATTTGCTTTGTTTTTAAGTGAACGCAGTTTAAGGATTTAATACAGATTAAAAGTAATAATAAATGTATTAGTTTTTTGTAAAATTTTAATAAAATATTTCACTTTTTTGATAATTACATTACTTTTAATTATAATAGTTAAAAAACTAATGAGAGAACAAATTAAAAAAAAAGTAATTAATACTACATTAAAAATTAAAAATATCAGTTATTTTGTTAAATTTTTTAAATGTTAAGGAAAACAGTGGATGACTTATAATAGTCTAATAATAAATTAATGATATAAAATGAATTAACAATTAACATAAATAAAGGTAGACATATGCTTACTATAAATAGAATCAATATGTTTCTTATATATAAAACAATACAGGTAGTAATACTTTTGTTCCAATATATAATTAATAAATGAGAATATTAGGTTAAATTGTTTAAAATACAAAAAATTATTTTAAAAGAAGTAATTTAAAAAAAACAATTATTGATAGAAATTGTTTCTTTAAAAAAATGTTTTATTCAAAGCAATTAATACAAACACGTAAATAAAAACTACTTATTTTATTAAAAAAAAGTTTTTTTTTGGGAAAACAATGTTTAAATAAATGGGTTCATTAAGTAACATAAATTTATTTTGAGATGTATTAATTAATATTTTTTATACACTTAATTTATTAACAGCCTATTTATGAATAATCCACTCATTTTTCATGAATCGAATGCATTTACTGCATCAATAGTGTTATAAGTTATACTCATTAGTTGAAAAAAAAAAACATTTCTTTTGCATTATAGTGTCATTGAATATTATATTCTATTCATCCCAAATCTGTACTATTTTCAGCCTTTTTTTTCCTTCAAAACAACTGATATTTAAAAAATTTTAAAATTTAATTAACATATATATATATATATATATATATATTTCAATCAAATCCCTATTTAATAAGCATTTCTTTATTAATTATTCATTTACTTTTTACAAAAACAAGATTATGAAAAAGAGATATTAAATATAATTTTTCAATTCAAATTTATATTTATTAATCTATGTGCATTAACTTAAATTTTTTTTGAACAAATGATTTTTTTTATAAAAATAAAAAATATTACAAAAATAATAACAATGAAGGTCTTTATAATTCTATTATCAAAATTGATTCTTCTAATCAGTAGATTAACTCAGTGATCTTGGAATAGATGAAATAATGAGTTTGTCAATTAAAATTTTTTATTATAAAAGTTTTTTTAATAAAATAAACACTTTTTTTTATATGTTTGTTTAATTTTTTTTAAATAAGTAATTTTCTATTTTTATAAAGTATCTCCTATTTGCTTTTGAAAGAATTATTTTTCTTAAAAGCACTTGATGATAAACACTTCTTTTTAAGTTTAAATGAGCAAATTTAATATATAGGTTATAACAAATTAGCATTAGTGTAAAATAAAAGATTAAATATGTTTTTGGTCTCCTATAATATTAAATTTATAATTTTTATCTTTCTACTTTTAAATTTATAATTTTTATCTCTTAATTTTTTAAAATGTACAATTTTGATTTCCTCATCATTAATCGTTAAAATCATAATATTAATTATAATTTGATATCAAGAAAATAATATAACAATTAATATTTAATAATATTTATGTTAAATTTATTTATTTTTCTTATTTATATAATTATAAATGTTATATAACATCAAATGTTAATTATACTTTTTATAATATAAGGATGCAAATAAAAATTCATTAAAAAAATTAAAAAGTTAATGGCTTAACTTTTACACCATTTAATAAGAACTAAAAAAAAAATTGCTTCAATTGATATTAGGCTAGATATATTTAATTTAAACAAGTTCTTGAAGTATAGTTATCGACTAATAATGTTGATTCCGTTTGTTTTTTTTTTTTTCATATAAAAACAATTTTTTTACTTCTTAATATGTTTGTGTAAACTTATTCCATATAAAATAAAGAAATAGCAATAAGGATGTTTATATAATGGGCAGATAGCAAATATGAAATTCATGACATGGCAAACACAAAGAAGACCTCAAACTAACCCAATAATATATCATATTATCATGCCTTTCTCTCTCTCTCTCTCTAGCTCTTAAGTCTCTCTCTCTTACACTCTTTCTCTGCACCCATTTCATCGTCTCTTTCTTTCTCCATCGCAACAAAATCCAACCCTTCTAAGCAGCACACGCCAGTTACAACTCACTTTATTATCTACACCCCTTCATATTAATTATCTTATCTTTCTCACAAATACACATACATACAAACAACTGCTTCCAAAGATAAAAAAGATCCATTCTTTAAGAGAATCAAGACCCAGAACAAGACCACGTTATAGCCTCTGTAAGTACTTTTTTTTTTTTTTTTTTTTTTTTTTTTTTTCATGTATTACGGGTTTGGTCTTCCCTTATTTTCCTAACCAATCAAGTAATTGAGTAAGGAAAAGACCAAAACTTAACTTAGCCTTATGGTTCACGGGGCTATGTTCTAATTGGTCTTTCTTTATTCCTCGTTTTTTTTTTTTTGTTAGTTTTGACTAATCGGGGTCCATCGTGTTCTGTCCCTTTCTCTACGCAATATGTTTTAATCTTTTTTTTTTCATCTCATAGGAAGAGATTGAGATGGCGGAAATCCCGAAGTTGGTAAGAACTGAATTTCCTAGTTCTCTCTTTATTCATTGTAAGTGTCCCGTAGTTTTTTGGTGAGGGGTGGTTTTGTTTTGCAGGAATTTTCATCATGTTTAGATTGGGAAGAGAAGAACATAGGAACACAGAGAATTTCAGTTTCGGATCACATAAACGCATTTCATTACACAGCCGAGAAAGCCGATAGCTTTGTGATTGATATGGATGCCTTCTCTTCCGCCAACAACAAAGAAGCCACCAATGCAAATTCGAGAATTACGGTAACTCTCTCTCTCTGTTTGTTATTTTCGGTAGTTGTTTTTATTTAATTTTTGTTAAAGAACAAAACAGAGGGTGTTCTGTTTCTTGTTGGAATTTATACACGTAATTTAAAGCCATGAAGGTTACTAGTTCACTTTTGAATGCTAGGCTTCGTAAAATTAAATGGTGACATTATTACCGATTGAAGTCAGAGGGAAAATAATCAATACCCGTTAAACTTTTACGGCCATTAGATCCAATGTCCCTCTCAAATATTGTTTAGCCTTTAGCTATAACTCTGAACTCACTAATGATACCTTTAAATTAGGCTAGGCTGTATAATTTTACCATTTTCAACTTTCTTGTGCCTAATATTGCAGAGGGAAAGGGGTACAATAATTTTTGTTTTAGAAAGATAAGTGTGGAGAAGTGAAAACGATGCTCCTTCCGTGGAATCGGATCCCTGCAGTTGAAAACTGCATCTTCTATTTCTTTGAAGGACCTTCCTAATAAGTGTTTGGATAAATAAATCCTTTTTTTTTTATGAAAAATAATGTTGGAATGTTTTCAAAATTATGATAAAAGTGTATTAATAATACTTTTAATAAAAAAAGACCACTTTTAAATATTATACTAGGGTCCTAAGAAATTAGTTACTATTTGCCCTTTTTTTAATACAGGATAGATCATTTCTATAACTTGGACCCTATGTAGTTAAGAAAAAAAAAATTAACTGCAGAGAATCTTAATCTTGTTTTTATTTTTTATTTTTATTTATTAAAGATTAAACAAATAAAAAGGAAGTAAATAAATAAAAATGCATATAAATATTTTTCCTTAACTTCCATCCTTCTCAATTCTTAGAATCTAAAAGAAAAAATGTTTTATTAAAAAATAAAACATTTATAATATACTTTTATAATTTTATGTAATAAATGCTTTATTTAATATATCATTTTTAGCTAAACATCCTTGGTCAATTTTTTTACTTCCAACAAAATCAGTATTAAAGATAAAACTGTATTTTTTTTTTTCAAAACTAACAACTAAAAGTTAATTTGTATTTACATATATTTTAACATAAACGATAATCATATAAATATATAAAAAAATTAAAATTAAAAAAAAAAAGCACTTTCTTCTCTCATCTAATTCCATTCCCTATCTATCCAAGTAATGGAAAATATGTGAGACCCACTTAAAATATATCCATCCAAATCCCTACTCTATCTTGCCATATAACAAAAAAAAGAAAAAGGAAGGGTCCAATCCTTTCCCCACTTACTTTCCTTTTCGCTCATAATATGCTGCATATGGAACGAAGTATATCCTGAAGATGTCTTTTTTGGCTATACATGATGGTTTTGCTTTAAAATTAAATTTATTTAAATATATTATCATATGAACCCACAAAAAAGTTGCAGAGGAGCCTTTCCAGGAAGGGATCCCAGCGTTTGGGTGACAAGAAGGTGATGAATGGCAATGCCACACTTTATGATAAGGATGCCCTTCCCGCCATATCCTCACCAAAAGGTACTATTTCATTCATCTTATTTTTTATTCCAATATAAATTTACTTTTTTGTCCTTTCATTAATCTCATAAACGTAGGCTGAACGATTCCACTACCCTGGATTTGTTTGTATATCTTTGGTCGAAGAGAATTTTAATATAATTATCTACACGTTTGTTTGTTTCCATTATCTGGCCCTTAAGGACGTGGCTCATTGATACGACATATGAATTTATTATACATAGGACACACAGGTGACATATTGAAATGTTTCCTCCATGCCTTAGTTTATGTACATAAAGGTTAAAAAATATTTCATTAACAACCTGTACCTGTGTCACGACAAGATGGATGTCCCCTGATTGTTAGGCCTCACCTTGCTGGATTATGATGTGAATTATTATTATAATTGTCATTATCGACATTGCAGATCCACTATAAGTGCGTTTTGGACTCAAATTGATCAAACACAAATGTGACCACACTGATAAGTTAAACTGTAAATGAGAATGTTGTAATTTCTTGGCTTGGTCACTGGTGGTTGAATTGAATCTGAAGATTAGTTAGGATGATTTTTTTTTTCCTTTTTCAGAATGCTTATTTCAATCCGATCCGTGAACCTGTCACACTGTAATGGGACCATTTAGTAGCCTGTGAAATAAGGCTCTGGTCAACCCTAGTATAAGTAAATGGGAAATTGGTTAGGGGAAACCAAAACCATTTTGGTACAAGTACATTACAATGGTATGTTTCTAGTCATTGGGGGGCCACAAAAATTGGCATTATCTGAAATTTGAAAATCCTTGCGAGCTAAAAAATTCCTTATACTAATCTAATTATGGTTGTTGTTGATATCATTTATTTGTAGCTACTACACTTGTTGGGCCTTTCGTGCCTGAAAAGCAAGCGGGGATGGCAGTAGTACCCATGGATCATTCCATCAACCCACAAGCCCATCACCAGATTTCTGTGACAGCCAACAACATCGGTGGCAACAAAACAGAAAACAAATGTATAACTAGAAGAAATAGTTTCAGACGACCATCTTCATGGACCCTTGATCCTAAAAGGGTTCTCCTTTTCTTTGCCACCTTGTAAGATTATATTCAACTCCTATATTTTATACTATTTTGAGTCTATTCTGATACAAATTTAGAATAGTTTTTCAAAGTTCTTTTTATTGAACATAAAGAATTTTTTTCAGCAGAAAAACTCTTTTAATGTATCCAAACATACCCTTTGTCATTTAACCTAAATTATTTTGTTGATGCTATGAAACAGGTCTAGCATGGGAACAATGTTGCTGATATACTTCACACTGACAATAAGTAAACAAAGTGCAGATGAATATGGGGGCGATTTGAAGCCGTGAGTGAAGGTTTTTTGGATTATGATATTGAACATAAAAATAAAAAAAAAGGACATGCACTGTGGAGCAAGGTTACATTTGAAAATCACTGAATTGGAGCAAAAGTTGGAAGTTAGAAGAAGACAACACTGCGGGAGTAGCAAAAGCTAACCGAATGTCAGAACCAGTTAAAATCTGGTTTTCAGCATCATCTGTTTGGCGACTACAAGAGATGGATAGAAAGACATAATGTAGTATGACAGAGGAGAAGGAATCTTCCATTTTATTTTTATGTAAATGGAAGACAAGCGATCAGATGGAGGACATAGCCCTTTAATTTATTTGTTGCGTGATCGCAGGGCTTAGTGGAAGATCATAAAGTCACCTTTTTCCTCTTTCTGAGCCTTCATCTTTATCTCTCTCCACTCTATCTTTCTCTTCTGTTTTGCTCTTACATGCAATCTAAAAGAAAGTGAACCTTTGGTTATGTGCATATGTCATATATGAGAGAGAGAAAAAGAAAACCAATACCACGAGAGGTGCCTATAAGCCATAATAGCGTTTACCTAGGAAGTAGACATCAACGCATGCGTGCTCAAAGGCTTTTTTTTTCCCTCTCAGAAATATTGCAGTCCAAGAGTGCTTTTTCCAGGCACAAAGAATGTTTATTTATTTATGGAAGCCGTGTGGAATATACTATTTGGAAAATTTCATATGCTTGTGTACTATGGTCGAAAGAAATAACTGCAAATGTAAACGTTACATCTGTTTTCCACATAATAAATTATGTATGCCCTGGCAGGATTGAGCGTCACTTGTGTCATCAACCATATTTACAGATCAAGTTTCATCCTGAGGATTATTCTTCGTTAGCAGTGGAGGTAGCCTAATCCGCAACTCCATTAGGGAAGCAACTCAACATGCAGTTAACATTCCTGATTAAGGAATATTCAAATATGGATTTCAACATGGATCTTTGGTATGCCAGTTTTTATAAATAAGTGTTGTGTCCCCATCAATTTTTAAAATCCTTTTATCTAGATATTTGATAACTAAATGGGACATGTATAGACAAATAAAATTGATGGGCATAATAAGTATAAAGCACCTAGACAAATGAAAAATGATAAATCTAATTAGAGGATCAATAAATTTTCTATACTTGATAAGTAAAAATGTACTATAATTTTCACTACAGATTTTTCAGCAACATATCTTCCTCTTGAATTGAATCATATCACTATAGTATATATTATCACTATAATAATAATGTAATTTTATAACGTTTATTTTAAGTAATAATTAGATGTAAAAAGGTTTATGTTGAAAAAATGTATTACATTCGCCTAATATATAAATATTTTATTTCACAACAAAAACTCTTTTTTAGTTGCTTAAAATCAACACAATTGCACTAAAAAGAATCAAAACTAAACACAATTGTTAACAAAAACCATAGTAAAAGGATAGATGACAGAAAAATTCAAAATTTAAAATGAAGAGATGATTTTTAATTTTTAATTTTAGGTTTTCTCCTCTTACTTTTCACTTTTCTTTTTACTAAATAAAATATTCTTTTTTTAAAAAAGAAATCCCTATTAATTATTGTCAATCAAAATATAGGGCTAATGATTGTAATTTGGAAATAGGTTCACAACAGCAAAACATGTTCTAATTGTTAGTTGGGCTGAGTGATATTTGGACGTATATGATCTTTGACATGGTAGAATAATGACCATTCTGCGCACCCCCAACAAAGCATAATGACCATTCCAATAGATTCTAAGTTTTGACCAAAAAGAAAGAAAGATCAAAGATAGATTCAAAGTGCTTGTTTATCTAAGTTTTGAAACTAATTAACAATTCACCGTCCGATGTAAATTGATATGACAACTTAAATACGCATACATGTGTCCACAAGGAGTGGTAGAAAATGGACAACTATGGTGCTTTCAACGTTGCAGTTCAACATAGTGGAGCTTGCACTTATGCTTGTGGTCATGCATCATTATTCGATATTCAAGCAACACCCTACCATCAACAAAACGATATTTTACATTTTCAAAGTCAAAGAAATGTGAACTTGATACAACTTGTCTTCGTAAAAATAATTGGCCAAACAGAATTCTAAGCCATATGTTTCAGCACTTAATTCTCTCATGTTTCTTAATTTGGTCAAAATTCTATTATGTGTGTTAAAAGTAAAGGACTATATAAGTCAAGAATAAAAGGCCCATTAGGGTCCAGATCCAAGAGGTTGCACAAGACACCAACGAGGCCTTGGCCGAATGCTGGGGAGGGGGTCGTTTTAAAATATAGTTATTGGGCTTACCTACTAACTTGTGGGCCTATTTAGCAGATGCTGTCGTTGAATGCCCTGTCTTTTATAACGATGCTTGCTATATGATACAAAATCAATTAGTACAAATGAAAATGAAATCCACGTGTATAAGTATTATTAGATAAATATTAAATTAAAATATATAGAAAAAGTGGTTTGGCGGAAATTAAGGGCGGTGTGACCTTTATACAGTTTTCATTTTAGCATATATAGAAATCTCATTGAGAGCAAAGTCTGTCAGGCCTTGGTCGAATTCTCGCGAGGGGCCCATCATTGCCTAATGGTAAATTCAATGGAAAAGTTTTTGGGCTCACCCATTAATTTACGGGCCTACTTAGCAGACGCGGTTATTGAATTCACTATGTCCTTTTAACTTAAGTACCAAAAGGAAAAATCTCATTTAAATACACGTGCTCACTTTCTTTATAGCAGGAGTCATAAAATCTGCATGATAATGAGTTGTGGACACCAACCCTGCTGACTGGAAGCTGAGTAGATTACACTCTCTTTTAGAGTGGTTTAAGTTATTATTTTTTATTTTTTATTTTATATTTTATCTTTCTAAGAAGATAATTAATTAATATATGTTATAGCTGGGTTCATTTTAATTAATGACACGAACCTCTTAAGGTTTATTTTTTCTTATCATGACTTTCCACATTATCAAAATTACTGCTACAGGACACCTAAATCCTAATCTCATGGATTAGAATTCCTTGTACTTGCGAGAATCGGAATTTCACTTTAGTAATATAAGTAATAAATAATTTTATTAAATATCAATTCATATTATCAAGTACAATTCTAATTTTATAAATAAATAAACGTAAATAATATGATAATAAAAAAAAAGTAATATTATTGTAACATTTTGATAAATGGGCAGTTGGCATAAATAATATTTGGTTTATAAAGTATTAGGTATGGAATTGGAAGAAAGAGTATAACATTGGATGAAGGGGAATGGCTTCCTTTGTAGAGACATGTGGTATATATATTACAAATTGTAGCTTAACAGCAGACAAAATGAGACAGCATCAAACATGCAGGCTGAAACCAGCTGCCATATCGACCATATCTCTCCCAATTTTTATTTATTTATTACTAATTAACCCAAAACCAAAGGTAACACTGACACAGCCACACTACCCTCTCATTCTTTCTACTTCTAGATCCATCTCTCTTCACACGTACACGTAAGCAACCTACTTCATCTTTCAACACTAGCACCGTCATAAATGATTATGCCCTATCAAGTGTGAGAAACCTTGGTAGCCCTATTTTCGACCCCAACTTCTGAACATCATCCCGAACTTGTTGTCTATACTCCCTAAAGCTGAATTTCCTGTAAACAGACGGCTCTCTGCAACTCTCTATCACAGTGTCGTTTGAAGGGCAAAAGAAATACGCCATAGAGAACCTTTCTAGCTTCGGATTCGTCATAACACGATGCTCAACACTCTTGTACACCCCGTTGCTCCATGCCTGCATGCATATATATATGTTGCATTTCATTAACCAGCTACAAGACCAAACAATATCATAATTCTATCAGAAGAATGAATAATCAGTGAGCCTACTAAAACTCAAACTCTACGTCAATTAATAAAAAAAAATGTTATTAACTCATTTGTGAAATAAAAAGTCACATAATCTTAAGAAATGAATTTGGGTTAAACTTAATATTATAAAATTGACTATTATTATTTAATTATACACAATGGCGGAACTTTAAAAAAAATTTTAGGGGTCCCAAATTATTTATATATATATAAAATTATAAATTAATTTTTTTATTAGTTAAAAAGATAATATAATTTCTCTTTTTTTAACTTAATTTTTTTAGTTTTATTATAATTAATAATATAATAATATATAAATATAATATTAATATATATATAAAAGATTTAGAAAAGTTTGGGAGAGCCGTGACTCCCCCTATCATTACCAAGATCCGCCACCGATTATACACATCATATTGGCCATGATAATAATTTTATAGTAAGTGACCTGATATATTTAATAATAATCAATAATTACTAGCATGTGTTTTCATTCTATTTTAGAATATAAATTTTACACCTAGTTCAATTTTATGAAACTTACCTTTAAAATAAAGATTGATCTTCACCTATATATATTTCATATGTTCTCTACTGTAAGCAAAAAAAAAAAACATACACTTTTTTGTTTTCAAATATTAATAAGTTTTAATTATTTTTGTCATTTAATAATATTCTCTTAAAAAGTACTATTTTCTTAATGTATGACTTTAAAAAATACTATTTTCTTAATGTATGACTTTTCAATTTTACTATTTTGTGTTTTTGTTGTTCATAAACGTTATTTACATAATATCTAAAAGTTGATAATTAAGAATTAATTTGTATTTACAACATGTGACTTTCGTTACCTAAATATTATTTTAGTACAGATAAATATCGAAACGAACCTTAGATCAAAAGATTTGATTAGTTGTATTATTTTGTTTAACATTTATAAGAAAAATAATTTTAAAAAATATTATGAAATTAATAAAATTTAATATACATATAACAAACTTTCTTATAAAATCATTAGGAGTACTTTATTAATCGTATTATTAAATGTGAAATGTAATCTCAAACACATCAATAAAAAAATTAAAAAAAAATCAATACGTAACTATTTCATTTAAAATACTAATTTTTTTCTTAAAATTTATTTTAGATTGCCCGACGACATGAAAGAATTATAATAATTAAGTACGTACCTGGAATAAGTCACCAATGTTGATTATTAGTGCATCAGGGTTTGGTTTAACTGCGATCCATTTGCTGTCTTTGACCAATTGCAAACCTCCGACCTGATCTTGGTACAATATGGTGAGAAAGTCACTATCAGTATGTGGCATGAGACCGTGAATCCCAAAAGCAATAGGGCATGGAGGATATCGGTTCAATCGAAGATAGCATGTGTTGGGCAAGCAATTCTCCTTAAAGAAAGTTGACTTGTGACCCATTTTCTCGGCCAGGATGTCGGCTAATGTTTGTGCAAGCCTGGATACTGTTGTAGCAAACTGTTCAATTGTCCAACTGCAAACATATATGCATCCATATGAAAATATTAATCAAACTTTATTTATTACATTGTATAGAACTGGCTAGTAAAATCCAATGAATTAATAACTAAATTTAGTGCCAAAATTGTTTTTACTTCACTCATTTTGAAATTACCAGATTTTAGTAATAATTTTCTTTAAAAGTTTTTAGTAAACTCTTTCATCGATATGATCATAACAATATCTGTACATAGTATTATTTTAATTGAGTCATCAATTGGTGGTATGGTGTCGGTCTGCCATGCCTAGCAGAGTTTTCTGGTTTCTGCTGAAGCAGATTGGCAACATTGATCACGTGAGGAACTACGGAACGTGCAGGTCAGGGGAACCATAAAAATAACAAGCCATGTGCATATATACCAAATTTGTGTGAACAAGTTCGGGGCAAGGAAGAAAGCAATGTCTACGTCATGTGAGTAGAGAGTGAACAGTTAATAAAATGCATGCAACTAATAAATTATGTGTGTGAGAGTAAAAGTAAGACAACACATGACGGAACTGAACAAATTTAAGGGAGTGCTGTGGTGGCAGTGGCAGAAGAAGTTGACAAAACATTAATTCGATCTGTGTAAAGTATAGGACTATAGTCTATAGGCTAATGTGCTCTGCTCTGTCAAAGCTGCTCCTCTTTCCGAGAATGACTTGAGCTCACTCAGGTGTAGTGTGAAGAGGGGCCATATGAAAATTTCAGGTTTAATTTGTTTAACGAAAAAGTAAGAAGGAACGTGTCAATTAATTGACTTAAATTGTTTACTTTAATTAGTGATATTCAATTTAAATATTTAACAAAGAGAAAATGCAATTGGGTTAAATTGTCTCGTTATGGAAAATTCATATATTCTTGAACAAAAAAGAATACAAGCACTAGGTTGTGATATGTAGACAAATGACATTCAAATATCATTTGAATTCATAATTAATTGTTGTTTAATTAACTTACACATTAAAATAACACGTTTATTTCACTTTCGACAAAAAAAAAGTTCATACATTCACTTTATTTGAAATCAAATAAAGGCGAGTTAGTTTTGCTCCCAGCAAAGAATTTCGTATTGTTGTAGAGCAATAAATAAATAAATAACAAGCACTAGTTTAAGTAAACAAACATTTTATCTACAAAAGAAACAAGTAAGCATATAAGATTATGTGTAAAATTATAAAATAAGTTAAGATATTGCATAGAACAGCGAAATATACATATATTTGGATTGATATTGAGAGCAAAAATATAATAAAAAGAATGCGTATGGAAAAGTAAGTAGTAAGAAGAAGATGAATACATTGAAAGTAGCGAGAGAGTGAATACCTAAGAGAGTTTGATCGAGTGGATCCTAGGATATCAGTTAAAGGAATATGAAAGGCTTCAGACCAAGATAACTGTCTAATGCATGTGGCAGAGGGTGTTCCCCAACGGTAGCTACCGGCTGAGAAGTTCAAGAACTTGTGCTCTTTGATCTTCTTTTCAAAGGGTTGCTTGAAGACTTTCTCTTGCTCATACCTCAACCTGCTGAAAATCTCAGTGGAAATACCATGTCTTACAACCTGGAAGAAACCCCACTCCTGCGAAGCCCTAGCTATCTGCGACTTGCACTCTTCCCTCGCCACCTCGTCACTCGCTTCTAAACGGCTCAGATCGATCACCGGAAGCTCGCATTCCTCAGCCACCACCTCTTTATAATCAAAATTATCCTTATTCTCTTCTTCATTATTAATGTTTCGTGTCTTGTCGAAGAGAAGCTTGTATGCCTCCTGAAAGGGTGGGTCCGAATTGGAGTCCATGTTAATTCTGATAGAAAAGGTGAAGGTGAAGAGGAGGATGTTAAAACAAAAAGTAAACGAGTGAATTGAAGGCTTTCTTTCAACAAATATAGGATCCAACAAAGAGATAAGGACAACTCCTTTTTCCTTCCCTTGTTTTTTCTGTTTATTTCGCCTTTGATGAAAACGTTTTAGACTTTGGAGACAAAGTTAGTTACATGTCTTTTTGTTCACACTTCAGATAGATTCATTTACTTTCTAATTATTATCTTTTCTTTCACTGCTAAACTCTAACCCCATTAATATACTTACATATATTCTTTTTTATTTTTATTATTTTCCTCATAAAATAACATCCATTCTTTTAAATTTTCATATATAGGATCATTAACTCTCGGCAACTATTTCTTCTCTTGACGGAGCTATTCAAGCCCAATCCTAATTACTTAATCTTCTCACTAACTTTTAGTCATACCAAGTACAAGGATGCCACCATTCTACCCATTTTGTAGATTGTGTTGTTCCAATAATAATAATAATAATAATATAATTTTCAATAAAAAGATCTTAATATTAATTCAAGGTGTTAAAAGATAAAAAATCATGTTTCATAATTAATTTTTTATATGATAATTGTTTTATTTGTGTAAACTTTTTTCTTGTGTTTTTTTTTAATATAATAAATAGTTTTCTATCTTTTATAATGTGTTTATCTATTTATTTAGTCTCTGAATTAAATGTTCGACTAGAAAAAAATAATTTGTCTCTAAAGAGTCATTAATGATGACTTTATTCACAATTTTGAAAAAAAAATATTTTTTCTTAAAAAATCAGCTTAAAACTAGTTAAGTTCTTCAAATTAATTTAAAATTAATTTGATTTTAAAACTGATTTATAGTTTATATATAAAAGTAATTTGATTCGAAATTGATTTATTAATTTAGTTCAAATAGTTAATAAATTGATTCAATTTAATAAAATAGTATGGTACAATTTAGTATGATTCCATTAATTTGAATATTAAATCATGCACTCCAATTAATAAGATTTAGGGCTTAGAATCTAATCATGTACAACTAACTTCGAGATGCTCCCATATAACCCCACCTCCGTGAGTGTCTCGGAGTTAAAAAAACAAAAATATTGATATTTGAAAAAATAATTTTGGACATTCAGATACTATACATTTTGCGAAAGAGACTAAAATATAAGTATCACAGCTTATATAATTCGATAAGAATTTTTTTTTTTTGAAGAAATGAGAGATACTCATGAGATATTTAAAGGAATGAGGTGTTCACAAATTATTTTTTATTTTTATTTTGTTGACCTTTTCTTTTGTGTCCTTTCTCACTTTTATCACAATTTTAATATCTCCTCTTTTACTATTACATTTTCTTTTAAATTTTTAATACTTTCCACTTATGTGCATATATCTTAAACACTTTTACTTTTATATCTCTTTATCTTACATATCGTTTACATTCACGATCTTTACATCTTCTATATATATATATATATATCACCAGAAATTTTTTTCCCTTCTCTTTCTATCTCCATCTCCAACCTAAAATAACCAATTTTAATATTTTAAATTGGTATCAAAAAATATTTTTCCAAAAATAAAACGTACTAAGGAATTTAGAAAATAATCAATTCCCATGAAAAATATTTTTAAGAGAAAATTAGTAACATATTTTCTATTATTAACTAAAATTTATTAAAAATCATATAATTAATTGTGTGAATTTTACCTTCTTATGTAATGAATTTCACTCATGTTTAAGTAATAATCATTTGGATGGACCAAAATTCCCTGTATTGAAAAGTAATTACAAGGATTTACAGTCATTGTTCAGGGACAAAAATAAGTAATATTTTATTATATTATTTAATTTTTATGACCGAGATTTCGTGCGGGTTAGAATCCTCGTTTGGTCCTTTGGTTTGGAGGGGCCGGAGAGTCGGAGACCCACTTTTAGCTGTACAGACTACAGTCCATATATATAGTGGGATTGATTATATATCCGTGGCTCTCACTTTCACATAAAAAATCTAGATGTAGTAACTCCCAAACTTATTGCTAACAAAATAATAATAATAATATAATGAAAATAAAATATCAACTAAATTATACTTTGGTCTTTTATGTTAGACTTATTTTAGTCTTTTATTTTTTAAAATATTTATTATGATTTTTTATCTTTTAAATTTGAGTTAATTTGATCCATTTAAATAATGATTATTTTTAATTTTAAAATATGATTCTGAATTATTTTTTTTATTGATTTAAATTTAAAATTCATCTTATTAAATTCATTTATATGAAAATAGTTGAATGTAACTAAAATTTAAATAAAAGAGTATTATAAATATATTGAAAATTGTATAAAAATCACTCTAAAATACAATTGAAAATTCAAAACCTTACAAAGAAACAAATTAATCAGTATACAATATATACGTGTGCTGGCTAGCAATATTTGTGACGTAATAAGTTTATATCTAGTAATAAAAAGAGTTGCGTCTCCACCTATGGAAACGGTACAAAGAAACTTCGACAAGGCACGGTAATAACAAACCTGTCTTTGTGTTTATAATCCATCGATACCGAATATGGATTTTTCCATAACATGTTAAATTTGTGGCTAGTTTCTTCAACTATATATATTATCGCTCACTCCGCTTTAGTTTGTTCATACACAAATTGATATAAACCAGATAACAGATATAGCAGTACTGGACCACTATTTATTCACATCTCCATGCCCTAAATTTTTGTGTATAATAATAATAACAACAATAATAATAACCACAATGAAAAGTGAGACTTTTAATTGGTCAAAAGGGCATAACCATTTTGCAGATCAAGCAAGAAAATTAAGTAATGGACGTTATATGAAATTACAGAAAAATTATCTCCTACACACACCTACATCTATGACTCACTGAATATATATAGAACCTATTTATTAAATATAAATTTTAGATTAATTTTGGAAAAAAAATTATTAAAAAATATTTTTTTATTTTTGATAAAAAATTCTCAAAAACACTTTTACCTCGTATTTAAACATATTTTTATGAGATAATTACTTGTTAAATCTCAGTTGACAGATTCACATGATCACATTTAAATAGAATTATTCATCAGCTAGATAGTCAAAACCATGTTGCTCGATCTGTTTACCTTTGAATTTAAAAGTTTAATTTATTATAAAGACAGGTAAAAGATTAATAAAATATCTGTAATGGTAGGTAATTAGATACCTGGTGAGGATCTTTGAGAAGTTATCAATCGATCAGACTCCTAGATATTATATAGTGCTTTCGCAACCATTCAAAACATGTACGTGGCCAACTGCTATATATGTTTATGTCGCGGGTTCTGCAAAGAAGATTCAAGAATATGTTATACCAAAGTTGCAATGATAATTTAAGACAAGCATCAACTTACGATGAATTATTGCCAAAAAAGAAATTGGGCATACAAATGATAAACACGTGCACCACATAAACTAGTTACCATTATTATATAAATGACAATATACATAGGATACTATTATTTGGGGAGATCAGAACATTTTTATTTTGGAGGAAATAAACTTGCACTGCTTCTAGCTTTGATAATTTAATTAGGTTCGAACCGTAAGCTATCAATTAGAATTTAGAAAAACTGATCGATTCTTTCTGCACAGCGTCCAAATAATTAGTTAATTTGGGGAGTAGAAATTTAATTTTAGTTAATCAACCTGAAAAATGACTCAAAAGTAGCTAACCAAAGAGGAATCATATATGCAAGAAGGATGCAATTACTTACAGAATAAGAATAGCAATGAAGAATCAAGCTCTGCTTCAGTGAGTAAGATCGGCGAAGTAGCTGATAACTTATATAGGCAACAAGAGAATCAATTATTGTCAACATGCATTAATATGTAAAGGACACTTCGATGATTGAAAGCTTATGCTGAAGAGAAGACCACGCGGCGCATGATGCTAGCTATCACTTATCAGAGAAAATATATCTAGTATCTGCCTTTTTTTATATACATTTTGATTTTCTTTTCCTTTTAAAGCAAACAAATAGGAACGTTGGAACTTACTTCATTCGAGGATTATAGGAAAGTAAAGAAAGCATTCAAGAATTGGATCATAAGGGTCACAAATCGGTCAACTTGCGTGCATGTCCTGCCCCACCTAGTCCCCATTCCTTAACATTGAGTTGCTAAAAATGAGGTTCACACCTATTTGTTAAAAAAATGTTAAATCGTACAATCTATTATATATTGAGAAAAGAAAAAGACAGATAAAAAGTAAAAAAATAATTAAATTGAAATAATTGATTAATATTTTTAAAATCAAACCAGTTATTGGACTGATTTACATACTGGTTTATAATTTAATTATGATTAAATCGTGATCAAATTGATATTAATATTATTATTATTATTAATATAAAAATAATATTAAATGAATATAATTTTATAAAATTATATATTAAAATAAAAATATTATTTATAAATTCTTAAAATTTAATATACACATAAAATTTTAAATTATATATAATATAATATTTAAGTTTAAGTTTTAATAAACTATAACAATATCAACTAATAACAAGTTTATATTTATAATAAAAAATATTGAATTAATATAATATAAACTATAAAAATAAAGATATTAAAAACTATAAATTAACATAAATTAATAAATTATATTTATGAGAGAAATATTAAAAATAAATTATTTTAATTTATAATTTAATTAAATATTATTTAATTAAAAAAATTTAATTGAATTTTAAAAAATAAAAAAATTATTTTTTATTTGGACGGTTCAAATCAATTTGACTAATTCATTATAAAATTGCGTAAATAAAACTGATTCTAAACTGATTTTTGGTCTTATTAACTAATTTGATCTGATTTTCATAACTATGAAATTAACTAATGTAATAAGAAGAGATGAAGAGGAGATAAAAAAATAGTAATTCTTATTTATTTATTTATTTTGGTCATTTAATTGTTAAAATATATTGAATGTTATCATTTTTTATTTATTAATATTCAATGTTTTTTAATTTATTTGCTAAAATAAGATTTTTGTAATTATACCTTATCTTGAGAATGATTGAGAATAAAATGAGTAAAGGAGTCATATAACTATATATATAAATAGTAAATATTAAAGTCACACGAATATTTAAATGAGTGAAGTTACTTAGATGAATAGATTGGTGTAGTGATTAGATACTCTATTTTTTTTCAATTATGAACATAATTTATTAAGCGAGAAATTTTATATTCAATTTTGTTGTTCATTAAAATCTTTCAAATCAATAGAAATTATAATATTGTAAGCAAGATTAAATGTTAGTCTCTGATCTAATAAATTGAGAGATACCCACAATAGAAAAAATAAATTAAAATTTACATGATATATATTGTTTAATATTGACCACGAGAGGTTTTATGAAATTTCGCACACATTTTTTTTACTTTTTTTTTACCTTTATAATAATATTTGAAAATATTATACAAATATTCTTAGATATCTTGTTAGTTTACTTTAATTGTAAAACTTATAAAAAAAATATTATTTTAAACATAAAAAAAAAAAAAGCAATATAATTTCCCGGAGCCGGGTAGAGTCTCACATTAAGTTAATCTAAGATCTAATATTTATTCTCACTATATACATCCACTCTCTCTTTTTGTCTCTTTCTATGTAAGACAATATATAGAAAGACAATATTTACAGTGAAAAAGTTGTTTTCATATTTATTTATAGAAATAGAATTTGTTAAAACACGGGAATTTACATGAGAGTGAAAAAGTAAATCTATGTTATATAATAATACAGATAATTAAATTTTAATTTTGTATAATAACTACTTAAAAACGTATATATATAAATTTAAAAAAAAAAAGAACTTACATAATTTATAGCTACTTAAAAAAAGTTATATAATTTTTGAGAAAGAGGATTGTTATATCTTCTAAAACGGCTTTCGAATTATTCTTCGAAATATAAAAATATTAATATTTGTTAATAAATTTAGTATAAAATAATTATTTAATTTAATATTTTATAATTTAAATTAATTTTTAATAATTATGAATGATTTTCGAAACGTTATTTCAGACTAAGTATATATTTTCTTTTAAGAAATGTTAATTTTCTCAATACATGTCCCCTGTTGCCATTTGTCAATTCCCTAATCATGAGTATTGTCTCTCTTATCTTTGATGCAACGTGGAGAGTAGAGATAGGAAAAGAAAGACTTGGAAGGATGAGAACCATAATCTGTCTTACAGTACAGTTGGTACCATGCAGTATTAAAATTAACACACGTGAATTGCTTTTACTTTCGTCATTTTATTATTATTATTACAAAAGCTCAAAATTAATTCAACCCAATCGAATAGATCCTCCATGAAAGAATTGCACATATCAGATAGATGACAAGCCCTATGGAAAACACATAAGCATTACTGTGATACAAATAAACTTTTCCATTATTATAATAAGAGAATAATCGGAAGTTTAGAATTACATACAAAATTTCTATTAATAATGAGATTTATTAAATAATGACCTAAAAATACGAGAATCAACAAGAGTTTATAATTACACATAATATAAATTTTTTAACAAAGTTTAATTATTGAGATACAAAAAGAAATTATATTATTGAAATAAGAAAATGAACATGAGATAACAATTATACACAAAATCTTTATTATTTTGAAGTTTTTTAATAATAACTTAAAATAAATTTATAAAAACTTAGTCTAAAATAAATAATAAATATAAATGTAAAGGCGTGTATAAATTTTCGTTATATAATAAATATATTATACTCTTTTTTCTTTACACTAATATCATATACTTCTTGAAAAAGACATTTATCTATTATAAAGAGAATATATGATATGTAATTATTTTTAATATGTAATTTTAGTAGATTATTATATTTTTTTAAGAGAATAATGAAACAATTATTTATATTTTTAAATAATCATTCATAATCATCTATTCAATTTATTTTATTTAATTTTATTTTAAATTTTTAAAAGTTAAAAAAGTACTTCTTTTTCTAGCAATCTCTATAAAACAAATAAAAAACAATCCATCATTATTAACCAAAATAATCAATCATATTCTCCAAATTCATGTCGGCAAACCCAACATGACTCCATCATGTCAACATTAATTTGCACGTCAACATTTCAACTGGGCAAGGTCGATGAGAGGTTGAGGCAAGGACATGTGCATTGCTTATTAGAAAAGACACAAGAATCGGCAGTGTAGGTAAGGAAGGATCCATGGCTCACCTCCTCCAAACCATCAAAATATCATTTCCTCTATTTCAGTCTTTTTTAATTACTTTTCACAATATATATACAATAAAACTGATCGATTCTCCGGGGACAGCACTGACTCACTATGTTTGATTTATTTTGGAAAAACTAGACCTTTCTATTGATGACAATCGTGGCTGTAAATGGCTAATTGTTCACGTTTTCTCGGGAAAGAAAATTAACAATATTTGGCTACAGGTTCCACTATACCCTCCCAATTGAGAATAGCAACAAATTATAACAATGATTAGATGTTAATATAATTTTATATATATATATTTTTTTTTTTGCAAGAAAGTAAATTAGTAAGTTTCTTGGTAAAACAGACAAAGATGGTGGATCCTCCTGTAATGATTAAATAAAATAATTAGTAGGAAAACAATGGTGGCGCTGATATTATTTCCAATAGAGAAGAAGACATGAATCTATCATGAGGTTGTATATCAACACTACAAACTAGAAAGAACGGTTTGGTGTATCGATCCGAAAGCCACACATATGAGACTCTATGTGATGATTAATGAAAGACAAGGACTTGGATGATGTAATAACTAACCGAATATATAAACGTACATATTCAAGTGAAATGACATAAACGTATGAAAATGATAATAAACTTGCTATTTGGTCACTATTTGTATGTAATGTGTGGCTGAATCTATTGGTGGTGTAATGATGGAAAGCACAAGTGGCTGTGGTCCCCTCCCCTCTTGTCACAAACATTAGCTGAATCGCATCAAAAGGCCTTCTTCGAGACTATGTATTTTATAACCAATTCATCAGTCCCTGTGATTCGATGCCCATTCATACAGGCAACATACACTTATGGGACATGTAAATTCTGTTATCTTCCCGACTTCTGTCGGCATACAATAAGTTTGAGAGATGATTCTCACTTCATTAGAAAATTTTGTAAAGTTAATTTATATAACGTTAGATATTTAAATGAATGAAGATATATATTTTTATAATTTTTATTGTTTAGTTTCATCTTTAATATGGAATGATAAAGAAACCGATAAGTGCAAAGTCCTCCTAGATTTAAATTTAGTTCTATATTAAAAAAAAATTGAAAAAATATGAAAGAAATTTTAAATATTTTTAAGATAATGTTTAAAATATTTGTATTTATATTAATTTTAAAATTCAAAATTATAAAAATATGAAGATAAATTTGTTTTTCTTTTTTTTATTCCATCTTGTAATAAAAACTATCTCACATCTCTTCCATTAAAATTCTTCTCGTCTTCTCTTTTACTCTTAATTAAGCAAAATATAATATACTTTTTCCTTTCCATCCTTTCCTTTTAACCAATTCAATCCTTAATACTCAAGTTCATGCTAAGAAGCAACGACGAATCCAAAAACTTTAGATAGTGGAGACAATACTTATTCATATATTTGTAATATTAAAAATTATATATATAACTTTTAAAGACATAAATATATATCATAATTATTTTTTACAAACTTTTATATCTACGATTAAAATTAAAGATGAAAATAAATTAGATCAGATTGAATTTTATTATAATTTAGTAGGTTTGAACCTAACTTTCTTTGAAAATATATATCATAAGTATGACTTATTTATCTATCATAGATATTTTTTAAATGTTTGGTTAAAAT